ACAGAATCGGTCGATATGGGAAAAAAATTATAAGGAAAGTTGTCAGTCACTTAAGAATTCAATTGATTTTGGATGAAACAGTATCTTTTCCGTTTCTATACTATGAAATATTATCTCCTTCTAGCCTACCGTTAACGATGAAACTAAAATACTGTATAGGTCGATATGGGATATTGCAAAGGCATTTCATGCTTCTTCATGCTTAGTGGTAATCAATTGATTTCAAGGGTTCCAAGTAGAATCCCGTGCGTTGCACGGATATGTAGCAGAGCAAAAGCATTTGAAACCTTTCTACTCTCGATCCTTTATTAACTTTAATGTTATTTTGAATGAAGCTTTTACTTAATTAAGTCTAATGAGGTGCTTGAAACGACTTCATATAGCATTTAGCTTATATATACTTTTGACAAACATAAATAGACATAACAATATTCGATGGTGAGTCACATCATTTGATTATTTGTCAGCTTTTAATTTCATGTGTTCGTTTTTTTCAACGCAGATTATATATTAATATGCGTTATGTTAATTATTATTATAACAATATTAAAAAAATTTGTGTGAGAAAGTGTTAAAATAGTTCTTAGCTTCACTTCAGCCATATAAGATCATTAGTAAGAATTAAGACAGTAAAAAAAAATGTCTTTATTGTAAGACCAGGTTCTCGAAGAAAAGTAAATTCATCACTATTCACGGAAGTCGTTTCAATGGACTTTGTCTACAATTTGAGTATTCACTACGCAGTCGCCATTAATTAGTCCATATTAAGTAATCCAAATAAAGTAATTTTTATTGAGTAATCTATGCTAATTAATTCGCATTAATAATAGTGTATTGATTTTAGGTTATTGGGCCTAGCCTTAAAGATATATAAAATAGGTGTGCCCTCAAAAAATGTCACCAAATATTTCGGAAGCATCATTAATCAAACTTCTACAAAAGTCAAATGGATTTTTTGATACAAAATTTTGATAGGATCTGCTTATAGATTCATATTTATTGATTCTTACAAGGGAAAAGACAGACTGCGACCTAGAAGATCTACTATGTTATCGCTGTTACTTGGACAAAAAAAGACTGATTTGTCTGTTGGATCTAGATATCAGACCTCATTCGATTTATCGTAAGTCGATTAAATCCACTGGACTTGTTTCTTGGTAATCGCTAAGAAAAAAAATTGCTAAATTACAAGAAAATTGGTGTTGGTTTTTATCAAACTGTAAATAATAAAACTGAAGATGGATGGATGCATCTTCAATAGAGCAAAATATCCTCTAAATACATAATAAGAATATTTGTAGTAAAACATTTTTGTAATGGTGTTGTGGATTAATAAATTAAAGAAGGGCGAATGGCAAAAATTAAAAAATGACTTGGTTTATTGAATGAGTATCATAAATAAAGCTATGGAAAATTGCATTGCTTTATTTTATTTCAAACTGAAAAACCGTAGAATAAAACATTTTCTTGAAAAAATTATTGATCTGTATTTTTTTCTTAAAGCAGTGTTTGTAGTATCGAAATCGAAAATATCGAAATAGGTGAACTACAAATGGAATTCTTGAACCAAATGTAATAAAAAAATTTTTGTTTTCTACCAAATAGAATGGATTCTATTTGAAAAAAAAAAGCCGGAAACTAATTCATTCTTCAATATATAGTTTTTAAACGATAAGAATCGAACAATTGAACTGTCATTTGTCACATAAAGTTTAGGGCCTTTTGAGCCACGTGTCAGTTGAGTATCAAATAAAACACTTTGTCAAATTTTAATACCAAACCATATGAACTATGAAATATCTATGTTTAAATAACTACCATTGCAATTGATTTATGATCGCTTTTCTCTTTCGAAAGGTGTCACAAATGAAAATTGACTTAGGGAAATATGTGCCTTTTTGACTTCGATACGGAAAATCGTTTCCATACACAAATTTTGTTTTTTATTTATTGTTTGTTTATATTTTCATTAATTTTTTCTTTCAAATAACATAAATTTCAAAAAATCTTAATTAATATGCATTTTCAGTGCACTTCGGGAATTGTACACACTCGAATTTATTGTGTAAACAAGTGACATCTGGCCTCTGACTTACTTCTACTTCCACACACACCCTTTTGGTACCCTTGTCTGTCAGCGGCACATATTTATAAGCGTTTGTATTGTGCACTCAAGTACTTAAGTATTTCAAGCCAATGTATCTGAGAATGTGTGTACATTAATTTTTTATTTGATATATAACTTTTCGCAGTCTTCAACCTTTATCGTTTCTTCTGATTGCATATGACTTTCCGCGTCAATTGCGTTCCTCGTCGTCGTCGTCGTCGTCGTTGTGGTCGTCATTGTCGCTCACATGTAATCCGTTGTATTACGAATTTGAACTTCTGTGCTTCGAGGCTGCTATGAACAATTGCTCAGATACATAAATTTAATTGTATCTATTGATTTAAGCTAACGATCAATTCTATACCCATAAGTCAGAGTTTGAGTAGCAAAATTGTAAACAGAGCTCCTCCCACATTCGTTCGTATTTTATACTCGTATTTGTTGTAGTTTTGTTTCTAATTAAGATATCGATAATTTGATATAATTTTTTATTTCAAAAAATTTTTTTTCGTCAAGTATTTCATGACAATTGAAACAATAACAAAGGAAAAATTGTCAATTAATATTTTTTGTTGAAGGTTTTTGGCAAATGGCAAATAAATGAAATTAAAATTGTTTCGCAAATTAACCATGAGAACTAGAATTTGAACTTATTTAATTGGAATAATTTGCTAAAGATATTTATCTTGACATATTTGTATCTTAAAATTGTTTTTATTTATTCTGATTTATATTTAAAAGATTGATTTTCTATATAAAAAAAAATATAGCAAAAAGATATTTTAAGTTAATAATAAAAAAAAATAGGATAAGTTAAACTAGAATTTGTGAGCACAAATACAGTGTCTGGCAATTAGACAGACTGTACCATCCAATTCTCTAGAAAAACTGCTTTAGTCAGTGACTTTCCAATGAAAATATAGCACAAATAAAGTGTCTGAGAATTCGATCGATTGTGACATCTAATTTTTTGAAAAAAATCTTCAATCTGAATAAAATCTGAATAAAAATACAATGAGAAGACATCTTCAATACACGGAGTTGTTCAGTTGAAAAATGATTTTAGATGACACATCCTTAATAGGTAGAAAAAAGCTTCACGAAAACGTGAGGACTGGAAGAGCAGTAATAGGAATATGAAGGCTTTAGTTTAGTTGTAGCACCAACAAAAAAAAAACTTTATAACTTATACTACAATTTATTAATAAAAATATTTTTAACTAAATTAGATCAGATCATCCTTATAGCAAAGTGCATTTATGCTGGAACTACGTTATATATGGTCAGAATTGAAATTGCGCTTATGGTTGGAATAAAAATATGCATTAAATTGTTTTTAAAATACTTGGTTCTGATGTCTAAGAAATTTGAAATATTCTTTATATACCAAAAATGCCGGCTACAAGATCTATATGGAAATTATAGAGATTTAACTACCTGTTATTGTTTGGGAAGAAGAGGCTTATAAGCGATTCTTAAATACTTATAACTTTTTCTACTCCTTACATACCATGCAGTTTCTAGGAATCTGAGTACAACATTTCAGTAGGTCTGAAGATCTTAAATAGTGTAATTTATCACTTTACTAAATGCTACGAAGCTATAGAGAAGATTTGAACATATCATTAGTTTGTATAACAATATCTTTTTGCTAATGTTTAATTTTCTAGCGCAAACAGATCCTAATAATATATGTGAAGAAAATAAATACATACTTAATAAATATATCGGGTGTTTAATACTGATCTGATTTTACTTTAGAAGGTTTCTTGAACCAAGAAACGAAAAATTTGTTTGAGAATGTTTATTTTCTTTGCTCTAAAAGTATTAGTATGTAAATGCTAATTGTTTTCTTGAATGAGTGCCAATAGTGCTTATTCTAAATATTTACTGTAAGGTCAGTTAGTCAAAAGAAAAAAATGTATTTGAATTTTTTGCAGCTTTAAAATTGATCAAATTTGATCAAATTTATGAAAAGATAGGTTCTATATCATGTACTATTTCTATCATAAGACTAAACACCCAGTTTTTAATCAA